GGAAGATGGTAACAATGACCGAAGCGAAGAGCTGCATAAACCATGAGCCCCATAGCCGAGTACCTATTGACAGTGGACAGACAGATGGAAGCCCATCACTGAGGGGGCAGGGCACAGCTGTGAACCTCACAGGCAGAGCACTGTTTCTGAGTACTTTGTGCAACTTTTCAGTCTAGTTTTACTCCATCTCCTTACCCAGAAAGGCACTGATATATGGAGTTGTTTATATCCCCATCTGGTTTTTAAAACTCCAAGAAAATTACCTGGCATGCAGGCGGCACTCTGTAAATGGTTTTTTTTGTGTTTGTTTTTGTTTTTTGTTTTTGTTTTTCCAGTACCGGGCATTGAACTCACGACCTTGTGCTTGCTGGGCAGGTGCTGTGCCGCTGAGCTAAATCCCCAGCCCCTGGCACTCTGTAAATGGGCTGAGTGGTTCCCAAAGACCAGAAATGATCTTATTCTGTACAATGTTTTTCCCAACACTTCTGAGTAGAATGGACCAACTGGAAAATGAGACCAAAGCAGGAATGGGATGCTTGGGAACATTCACTGTAAACTACTAATTTTTAGTGTAACTACCACCCAAGGTTAGAGCTGCACCCAGGGCTAGGCCTCTCTTATGCTTCTCAAACACCACTTTTCAGAGATCTTCACAAACCATCTACTGGAGGGTGCAATATGATCACTCCTCTCACAGTATCAGTCTTGACTGCTAAAAATATCATTAATGGCCATAAAATTATCTAGCCCCATATTTAATCCAGCCACAGAATTTGCCTCTGTGACCTCCCATAGCAATGAATTATATAAGTAACTATCTCATTTTATTAGCACTTAATTTGCTACTCTTTAATTTCATCAAGTAACCCCTGTTCTCATATTATGGGGTCTGGGGAAAAGAAAGGACTGATTGGTCTTTGTTATGTCCTTGATAATTTTTAATATTTCATTCAAGTACCCTTTAGTGTCTCCTTTCCAGGAGAAGTGATTCCAATGCACACAACCTCATCAGGCCCATGGAATCTTCATCTTATGGGACCAGGGAGTGGGGGGCTTCAAGTACGGTGCCTTTGGGGAGAACAGACATGAAACCGCCGTAATTGGCAGGCAATAATGCTCTTCTTAAAACTCTCCAATGAAGAAAAATGCCAGCTTCCCTTTGTATGCCATTTTGATGGCATTCAAGCCCTTCTGTCAATTAAAAATTTGTTCTCAAATTCTAGTTTTACCATCTTTTTTACTATTATTTTTCGGGTTCAAGTCTCAGTGGAGATAGCATTTTTCCTGCCAACTTCTTTTCTAGCCTCACCATCACTTTTGTGTTTTTATGGATGCTCTTGTGATCTTCATGCTATTCCTGAAACATGGAATACAGATTATACCCCTATAAAGGGAGCCGCATTTTGAATCTGGATCTTGCATTTGTTCCTAATAGATAAAAATAAAGAATGATACTTTATATTAGAGATTCCTCTCACCAGAAAAAAGGGGAAAATAAGAGATTAAATTTCCCCTTTGTCTCTTAATTCTTTCTGAGCTTTTATATCTAAGAGTACCATCCAAATCTGTTTCCTAGTGTGTTTCTAAACAATCATTTCTTGATAGGTGCTTGTACATGTTAGAGTCCCTTCTTAATTGTATTCATTGAACTGTCTATTATCTCTGCATTGTTTGCTTTCAATTCTAATTTAAATCCTCCGGGGAATTCATCACACTCTCTCACATGTACAAGTGTCTAGCACAGAGATACTTGTGCAATAAATATGCCCCTTATATCGCTGTAAATTTATTTTTCATACCAGACACTTAAACTAGTGAAACATAAGCTGATCATGTCTCATCTTTCAACCTTAGCCTTGGAAAGGGTTAGGTTGGCTACAGAAAGATTCCTGGGTGTCACAGCACGTTTGATCCAGCTAGACTCATGAGACATCCAACTTACATAGTGAATGAGCAGGCATAGGCTTGCCCAATGCCTAAACAAAGAAGACAGAAAACAGACACCATTCTGACAGCCCACACTTACCAGTAAGTGGCATCCAAAAGTAGTTCTCCCAAAGTCTAGCATCCAACAAGCTTAGGTGAATGCTCTAGGCATCCTTCCTTCCTGGGCATCAGCCACCTCTCCTAACATTCTACCCAAAAAGATGTTCAAGAAACCAACACAGCAGCAACCTGACAACATTATCACCATAACCCCAACAGCCGGCTATATATAATGATATATCTCCCCTCTCCCACTCTGCCTTAATCTCTTAAATCCTACCCCATATACATACATCTATGTGAGCATTTTTAAGAGCACTAACCCAAGTAAGTAATGAGCACTGTATTACATTCTCTGAAAAACTGTAACTCAGAGGGCTTGCACCACACCAACCACCAGTCTGATCTCCTAATTTATCACTTCTTTCCAAATTCACCTACTCTCTGCTCACAATTCACCTCCAGCTATCATTTCCAGTATGTCTAAAATCCATCACTAAGTGGGTTGCAAAACTTGCTGCTTACATCATCACAGTGGAAGATGATCTGGGTTCACAGCACCAGGTATCTGCATTCTTGCACCTTGCTTTGCATGGTAGCGTAACTATGTAGAATGCATGTAGAACATAAGGGATGGAGAGAGGGCTGCTGTTGTTGCTTGCTGCTTGCTGCTTGCTGCTTGCTGCTGCTGCTGCTGCTGCTGCTGCTGCTGCTGCTGCTGCTGCTGCTGCTTGGTGCTTTTGCTTGCCTTCTTTGCCATGGACTGTTTCTCCTCTGCGATGCCCCTCTGCAACACCACCCTGTCTTGGCGCCAGCCAATTACAGACTGAAACCTCTACAGACTGTGAGCTGAAAAATCTTTCTTCCTCTGAGTGCTGGGTATTTTGTCTCAGCAACGAGAACAGTAACTAAGACACAGGGTAAATAAGAAGGCACATTCACAGGAAGGCTAGCTTACAGCAGGCTTATCCATTTGGCTCTAAAAACTCCTAGTAGCTAAATGGAGGTCTGAGATTGATTTAAAGCCCTGCTGTCAGTCCAGAGACCTTTCCAGATGTCACAGCTGGGGACCTGGGCACAGGCACCACTTCCGTCCACTGGGTAAAGAACAGGGATGCTGCTACACATCCTACCATGTTCAAGA